TAGCTGGTAAACCTCAACCACATGTGAGGGATTAAGACTGACTTTTCCAGAACTTCATGTTCATGCACCCTTTATAGGACCATATAATACAGCAAACTGAGAGGAGCTTATAGGGACGAAGACACAGAAGTTCTAATCCAGGATCGCTGTGCATCAGGTGCACAGAGAATTAGGCAAATCTTGCTCAAAGATAGAGGATTCTGGAAGAGAAATCTTCAGAGAAAAGAGGGAATTAGTGATGACTGAAATCACAGATGAGTTTAAGTCCATGGCCTAGCTCCTTAATTAAAAGAAAGTCCATCTGCATATGAAAAGCATCGACTGGAAGAATACATGGCAGAAGTGTTCCCAAGGACACTAGCTTTCAACGAAAGTGAAACATACTAAGTTTTAAGCATATAATAAAAATTGTTTTCTTATGATTTGTAAAGCATTCTGAAATCTTTAATTGGGCATTTCAAAATAAGAGTTGATTATTTCCATATTTAGGGAGAGAAAAATTGCATTGGTCAAGTCCAAAAGACATGCAGCATTTCTAACCAAAGTTTATTTGCTCAGGGACATTTCAAGTAATAACTGGCACTGTATAGCTTCAACTGGGTTCAAATAAAATTCCAATCACCATCACATAGTAATTATTGCACAGGAAGAAAAACATTTATTGCCGGGCCTAACAGGCAGAGGCAAGAAATAGTCCACTGTGAACAGATAACTGCCTTGCAAACATGCAGTTGTTTTGTTTCGTTTTATTTTTCAGCATGCATGTTTATGTGTTGAATGTAAATGCATGTAAATATCTCAATTTTAGCATTTTATCACTGTTCAGTTTGCCAAGCAACTGCCAATGAATAATTGAAAGCTTTGCAAGATCTTTTCTTTCTTCTAGTCCTTTATTATTCATAATTTAATATTCCTGACCTTAGATCCTTCCAAGTATAAGACTAGGTCTAATCTAAAACCTGGCTTACAAACCATGGTCTTCATGTTTTGCTTTTTTGTATGTGTTTTAATCACTATAGTTGTTTGTTTGAATATTTGTTTACATTATATTCAATGATAAACATCCTAGTTTATAAATATCTGGGGAGGAACCAAAAGGGGGACTGCCCCGTTCATCTGCTTGCACAAGCTAATTGTCAGGGAAGGGACTGCAACAGGGCAAATGCCCCTGAGCTACGAGGGTCCCCTATAAGGTGCCGAGTTGTTTGTGACCCCTGGCTGAACTGTGTATTAGGTCTGCCAGAGAACTGCACAGGAAGTAAAAGGCACCGTTATACTTAAATCAGCATTTTGCTTAACTCATGCATGGATACCTAAACTAATTTCAAAAAGGATTTGCAACAGCTCTTCGTGACAGCAGAAGTAAAGCGAGTTTTTTTTCCTCTTACACTCTACTCCACCTTTGGAGCCCTCAATTACCTATCTACCTAGTGTCTAAACTGTGGGCACCTTGTTCATGGATGTCCGTATAAATATTCAGGAGACAGTAATGGACAGGTTCACCATTTAGAGCATCCACTTGCTGAGTTGGTGTGAGTCAGCTAAATATGTCCACACTGCCTGTAGCACTAGGCACCTGCAGAGGCCCAAAGGTGTTTGAGAAGCAGATGATTAAGGAATGAATGAAGAGCCCGAACTCATGCAGGAAGGCTCAACTGTACTAGAGTTCATTAGATTTGGGCAGAGACAAGAGTCTTGGAGGAAGAGGAACAGAAAGAGAATAAAACAAAAGAGAAATGGAGGAGGTTATGACCTTGACATTTAACTGGGTTAGTTGTACTGAAATGCTGGATTTGCAAAGCTCTACAGAAGCCAACAGACTCCACACTTTCCTCGCTCACTGGCAGATGACTGTGGGCTGTTGCTGAAGGTGAGAATAACTCTCAAAGGCTCTGTGAGGTGAAGCCATTTTTCCTGAGTTTATGCTTGCTTCAGGCAGTGTAGTGGGCTTTGGCTAGATTTTTATCAATGATGTGATATCAAACAGAGGTCAGCTAAGTCTTGCAAGGTCCCAGAGGCCCCCAGATTTCTGGAAATATGGTAAATTGAGAAGGCTTTGTTATTACATACTTACTCCCAGTAGCAATTTATTTAATCTGAGAATGTTCTCATACATGCTCTCCTCCCATTTCCTTCCCTAGAATGGTAGCTTGGCCAAGGTGTTTCATTTTCTTCAACAGTATCCGAGATAGCAACTCCAGAAACCTTGAATTTCAGCCTGTCAAAATGTTTCAATATGTGTTCCTTTCTCTCTTCTTTCTTTCTTTCTTTCTTTCTTTCTTTCTTTCTTTCTTTCTTTCTTTCTTTCTTTCTTTCTTTCTTTCTTTCTCTTTCCTTTCTTTCCTTTCTTCCTTTCTTTCCTATGGGGACTGTGTGCTCACCAGAGAGAGACAGAGATAGAAAAAGAGAGATGAGAGTTCATGCCCCAGCAAGGATGGCCATGCCACAATCTCTTCTCCTTCATTTCCTCTTAGGACTTTGGATACATGTGCACGGGTTCCTGGGGTGATTTTCAAGCTACTGGTCTGGGACTTGAACTGTGCAACCAGCCATGTGGGATCCAGTGCCTTAACCTCTACATCATCTGCTGTCCCTCCTCCTCCCCTCTTGAAGCTGTTTTCTTGTCCCTGTTTCACCCACCCTCCTCCTGTACTTTGATGCACTAAAGCAGTCTTCAATCGCCCCCGGGGGAATGACCATGCCACAATTCCTTCCCCTCCATTCTCCTCTGGGGATCTTGGGCACGCATGCACACGCGCCCCACATGAGTTTAAGCCACCGGATCTGGGACTCAAACCGCGGTCGACTACATGGGAGTCCAGCGACACAGCCATTACGCTAACTACTGGTCCCTCGATACAGGTTTCTTTGAGAAAGGTAGAATTCATGTCTAAACTTCAACCAACCAATAGTAAGACTTAGGAAACAGCATTTCTCCTAGAAGGGGAGAGGGGGAGTCTTGACCACCAGCACATGCCGATGGGGAAACAATGGGACGTGACATGACTGTGGGTGCAAACCTTCATTCTTCTCAAAAGAAGTGAAGGTACCCTCTCTATACACTGATTACTAGCATCCTTCCCACAGCCCAAGTTTTGCAAGGAAAGGAAACTTGTTGACATTTTGAAGAGGTTATTTGTCATTGATGTTTCCAAATGGGACTCACATAGACATTTTTTGATGTCACCTAGATGCACATAGTGGCGGGAGGTGTGGACACCCAGGATCTGTGAGAAGCAGGGCTGAAGGCAATGGAGTCATGTCCATCAGTTCCTTACAGCCACATCAGATAGCAACAACTCTCAGGGCATGCTGCTGTGGGTGAGGCCATGTGACCAGGCCATGTGGTTCCTTGTGTTTCAAGTCATTAATCACCTTAACTCTTGCACGTGGCTGCATTTCCTTGGAAATGACAGAAACCAGGACAGAGCATGCTTTTAGGCAAGGGTTTTGTGTTAGAGCTAATGCAAAGTTTAGCCAAGTGCAAGTCTTCAAATCATGCCATGGCGGCCCGTGGTGCTCACAGTGGTGCTGCATTGGTCTGCGGTTCTGTTGGCTTCACAGACCCAGTGGCAAGGTGTGAATGCACAGGAGCACCCTGTTTTTGTCACGCTCACTGTGTTCTGTCTCTTGCAGGCATTTTCAACTTAAACAAGAGCCAGGACAATAAGGTCAGGTATTCATCCATAACCAGAGTTGCAGGAAATATGTTCAATGATATAACTCACCCCAAACAGTCCTAGATACATGATATGTGAATAAGTTTACCTGATCTGAGTTGTGTCAAGCCATGTTAGTTTAGCATGAAACATTACTTTAATAACACTCCAACCCTTAGCCATTCTTTACTCTCCCAAGACAATTCCCTCCTTACAGAAAGAAGAAACAGAGGGAAAACAATCTGTGTCTAGTTTTAAGTTAGCTAAGAGTGAGAAAGAAATGTGACAATAACCCCGAAGAGTAAAAACTTAAGAAAACACATTGATGTCAGGAGTTCCACTCAAAATCGAAAAAACGTTATGACTCTCCAGCTTGAGTAACTTTATTTTCTTAAATAAACAAATTTGCACTGAGTTCATCAGGATAGCTACAAGGGAGTTTCTGAGATGAGATAGAAGGTCAGTAGACTCACAGATAATTAAAAGATCTTTCTGGAGAGTCAACTTTGCAATCCGTTTGCCAAATACTTGCTTTTAGGGATACTTTGATGAACCCAAACCCAATACCACCTAGAAGAGCAGTGAGCATAATCAAGAAGAGTAAGCATGAGGCTAATGTAAAATCTGTGATTGAGGCCACCAATGTCATTAGCCACTAGCACTCCAGTAAGTAAAACTGCATTTTAAAAGTGAAGGATGACAGCTCACGGCCAATGTTTCCTGTGTCCACAAATATTCCAGGAAAGGCACCGGCTAAATGCTTTACGTGACTCATTCATTAACCCCTGAGGACTCTCTGAAGTAAGCACTACAATGATCTCCACTTCACAAAACCCCAAACTCCCAAGATCATGGAAAGACTTTCTATCATGTTTACTTTAAAACATTCCTTAATTATACTAACACAACCGTGGGACTGTTACTAGGTATACGTGTTTTATTTAAGACATTAACTGCTAAGTATGACACGCTCTCTGTTAACCACACTATAAACCATACTATACACCTTCTTATCCATAACTCACTTGCCTTGGTCTGTTATCAGTTAGTGATGACGCAACAATTGCTCTATTAGCTGACAAAGACTGCAATATGATCATACAGTTTAAGTAAGGTCACATTTACTGGATTCTTCTTGTTTAATATGATCCATCCACGTGTATGTTCGGTGCAATTTAATCACTCGTTTGCTCATTCGAAAATACAAACTGAGACTGGCCGTGTTATTAGCATCCCCGGGAGGCCCCAGGGGACACTATCTGCTTAGCACATTTGCTACCACGCTGGATCAAGGGAAATTGAGTTTGACATCAAATGCAATCATTTTGTAATGATTCTAACCTGTGACCAGCTCCCGGATCTCCAGGTCGGTGGTCTTGCGGAGCAGCCTCACCAGCGCGGGGATGCCGCCGCAGTTTTTCAGGGCAATTTTGTTATCGTCATTGGCCTTCCCATACACCAAGTTCCGCAGGGCTCCACAGGCACTACGGTGCACTTCGGTCATCCGATGGTCCAGCAGGTCCACCAGGAGCTGGATGCCTCCCTGTCTCCGTATCTGAAAGAGCAAAGGACACCATTTCAGCTTCCCATATAGTTTCCGTATCTTAGGCAAAAAAATAAGATGCTTTTCATATGAAGTGTCTGCTACAATTAATTGCACTGAACTGAATTAAGGAATAAAAAAGAAAACGAGTGAGTGTTCTCCATGAATTTTATTGCCTGCCCTGCCTTTACTATCCTCCCAATAAAAGTTCAAATGTATTTCTTTCAAGCTTAAGAAATTTGGAAATGTGATTTTAACTTTATAATAGGTGTCCAGCAGGTCCACCAGGAGCTGGATGCCTCCCTGTCTCCGTATCTGAAAGAGCAAAGGACACCATTTCAGCTTCCCATATAGTTTCCGTATCTTAGGCAAAAAAATAAGATGGTTTTCATATGAAGTGTCTGCTACAATTAATTGCACTGAACTGAATTAAGGAATAAAAAAGAAAAAGAAAACGAGTGAGTGTTCTCCATGAATTTTATTGCCTGCCCTGCCTTTACTATCCTCCCAATAAAAGTTCAAATGTATTTCTTTCAAGCTTAAGAAATTTGGAAATGTGATTTTAACTTTATAATAGGTGTCTTTGATATTTCTCTCTATAAAAGTAAGCCACATACTCAAGGCACGACGCAGACGGAGGAGCAAAAGGCATTAGAATGATCCTCATTCCTTAGACATACTAAATTTAACCACTGTCTTAAAGGGCTGCAGGATCGATGTACAAAATGTTAATATTATGCTTCCTAGGAAAATGCCCCCAACATTTTAAAGGGACCATGAACTAAATGAGAAACTGGAGGAACTGACACAGGAGCTTACTCTCCAGAGGTCTGGGAAAATAACAGTGTCATCCCAGAGAGAGAGACTATGTTAGGCCAAGGCATGCTGTGCTTAACTCAGGTACTTGATGTACAACACCACCACCAGCACGTCCCATTTCAGTGTTCTTTAGATCCCTCTCCCCATTAGTAAATGCAAAAACAAAATCATTGCAATATCTTTAAAGATGAGTGTTCTCCTTGCTGCCCTTCACTTTGGAAACTGGCTTTAAAATTTAAAGTGGAAACAAATAAAATGGTTAGTTACTGTACAGACTATCTCATGGGGTTTTCATCACTGTAGCTGCATCTGGACACCTCTGCATTTGTATAGAAAATAACATGACTCCTTCCATAACATCTTTTTCTTTTTCGTTTTTTGAAACTTTAGTATTCCTGAAGAATCGAAAGATCAGCACCTTTCCTACTTAATGTTATTATTCCAGAAAATTCATTCATGGCACAGATGTGGCAGGGCGTGTGACTGACGGCCTGAGCTTTTCGATGGTGCTCAAGTGCCACTTTGTCTACGGAATGACGCTCACTCCGCTGGCGCAAGCTGCAATTCAGCATGCGTTTACCTTCACCTGTTACGGAATTCTTCACAGCGCTAGCCACGTCCGACCTTCCTTCATAGGTCCACTCTCACTGTCTGTCTCCTATTAGAACGCAGTACGTCAGGGAGGGCTGGCATCTGTGCTTTGTCCACTGATACAGCCCTATCCCTAGTCCAGGTGCAGTATCAGACACACAGCAGATACCCACGAGATGTTGGGTCATCGGAAAAGTCATGATGCATTTTGAAAAGAAAAACATAGAAAAAATGTGTCACGAATTTTCTGATGGCCCAATATCTGTTGAATGACAGGGAGAGGTTAACATATTATTTGCTAAAATAGTTTCTCCGATTTGTTAAAATAGTGCTGTTCAAAATGAAGTAATGTCCCTCTTTAAGGGGAACAGCCAAGAATGCATGCAGGGCCCCCGGCAGCTCCTCTTGCACCAGCTCATGAACAAACCCAGGGCAGCTACACAGTCGCTGGTGGACCGCTGACCTTTCAGAGATGCTACTGAAATGATTTTCATTCACCCACAAAGTGAGAGCAGAAAACAGATCCTCACAGAGTTCAAGGCTGTAAGTCCCTCATCTGGAGGACAGGAATGTAGTTCTGTGTATCACACCTGCAGTGGGAGATGGGCCAGGGAGGAAGACAGCGGGACCCCAGAACAGCGCTGAGTGACCTCCCTGTGCATCTGCACACCAGCAGGGGGCGAGTGCAACTTGGGAAAGTGGCTTAAAGGACGAGGGGGTCTTGCAGGTCCTTTTTAAATTTAATCATTATCCATCAGTATGGGTTCCCACAGCATAAATGCACTGCCTGTCCAGGAAGTTAAGGATATTTTCCTACATAGTAACTTTCTATTCCTGTGTCTGTTAATTTCTATTTTTCTATCCCCTCCCTCCTACCCTTATCTAACCACCCCCTCCTATATAGTCTCCACTCCTTTTAACCAAAGGGAGAAGGAGCAAGAAAGCTTGCTGATGTTCTACTCTATCGTAACACTTCAGAGGGATGTTCTGCTTGTACAAAAAGGTTAAACCATGAATGTCGCTTTTCCCTAAGTGTGTATTTGAACATACATGCTTTACTTCAAAATTTTCTACATTAACTTTTTGAACAATGGTGAAGCCATTACAAAGAAAGATAACACAACTAGTCTTACAGTAAACATATCAGTTATGCCATAGGGCCGGCGCCACCACGCCCGGCCAGTTATACCTTACAATGAAACGGTATTGGAAATCTATTATGAATCTACCTGTCCATTTTATTTAAATGTATATATTTTAGCTATAACAGATATTTGAATTAATATTCCTAGGTTACGATATTATTTTTCTCATTTATACAACTTAATGAATTAAGTTATTAAAATATTATTTCAATACATTAACAGAAAATGAATTCAAAATGAGTGCAGTATGAATTCTTAATGGTATAATGAGAACACAGTGTTTTCAGTCTGACCCTAATTGATGCCACATGCTCAGATTTATAATGAGCTCTACGTTCTCTGTTAATTTATTTACAGACACAATAAGACAGTTGCTCTTCCTCTCGAGGTCACCAGATCATCTGCATTAAAAACTATGTTTTCTTGAGGTCAGATTTTATCTAAGAATGTGAGTTCCATGTCAGGTCTTTGAAAGCAAACATCAGTTGATATTTAAATACCCACATGTGGGCAACCGGCTGGCCAGGTCCTGGGTTCTTCCTTCTCCTCTTTTCCCGACAGGACAGAGGGAATCCTCCAGCCCCTGTGATGGCCACCCCTCCTCTGCACTGTTCTGCCCCAACCTCCCTTCTTCCCACTGTCCTGCACCAGAACCTTCCAGTTCTTTCCGTACCCAACCCCAAACCCTCTGAAGCCTCCAAAGAAACCTGTTTTAAACCTTACCGAAGTACAGGAGAGTACAGCCCTTTGAAAAACTCAGAAGAAAACATCTCCTCTGAGATGACATCTTTATTTCCTCTCCCCCTAAATGTCGAGCATGCAGTTTCCAATTTATCACCCACTTCCAGCCAATGGGGCCTAGGTCTTGTTCACACCCTGTCACCTTCCCTCCTTAGCCATCTTCATACAGAATTCTTTGAAAGTCACATCTTGAAAGAGTCTAAGTTTAATATATTTTAAGTTTGTATGAAGCAAAAATTACAGAACTTTTTTTTATTCAACAGATAACTTAACTACATTCTTTTGTTTGTTAAATATTTCTCCTGTTTTGGCCCCTTCCACCCACCTTCTACAACCCATTCCCTTCCCTTACAGTCTCTCGCATCTACACTTACCCTCTCTACTAAAACAGAGTCAATAAAATGCTGGCGAATACAGACGCATATATATTATGTGTACATAATAGAACGTAAATGCACTAGAAGCATGACTGTCACAGGGTAGTAAGTAAACAAATATTTATTAAAAGAGTAGAAGCACTGTGCAGTTGTTGTCACAGGTTTTCTTCCCCTCTCCCTTTTAACTGGTTTTCAATAGACCTTATTTTTCAGAGCAGTTATAGGTTCGCAGCAAAATGGGGCAGAGTTGGTTCCAGTGGATAAACTGCACCACCGCATCATTACCACCCACAGCCTACAGGGCTCAGCCGTGCAGAGTTCCAATGGGGTTCACTCCTGGTGGTACACATTCTATGGGTCTTGATGAATGGATCGCGGTCTGTATCCACCATGAAAGTGTCACATGAACAGCTTCACTGCCCTAAAAATCCTCCATGTTCTGCCTGGACTCCTCCTCCCCAACCCCTGCCACCTACTATCTTCACGGTTTTACCTTTTCTAGACTAAAATACTTGGAATCATATAGTAAGTGGGCTTTTCAGATTGACTTTTTTTCTCTCAATAATATATACTTAAGGTTCCTCCATGTCTTTTTATGGTTTAATATCTCATTTCTTTAAAGTGCTAAATGATTTTCCACTTTTTGCATATACCACATACCATCTTGGTCATGTTCAAATTTTGGCAAATATGTATAAAGATGCCATAATCATCTCTGGAAAGGTTTTTGTATGAACATAAGCTTTCAAGTCCTTTAGGTAAATATTATATCGAGGAATGCAATTGCGGTAGCATATAACAGTATGTTTAATTTTATAAGAAATGACCAAATTGTCTTCCAAAGTACTGAAACATTCCATACTCCCAGCGGCAGTGCATGAGAGTTCCTGTTGCTCTATATCCTCACCAACGTCGAATATTGACACTGTTTCCATTTTGACCATCCTGAGGGGTGGCTATTTGTATCTTATTGGTGTGTTTTCTTCTAAGACTGCCTGCCTGACCCACATGGGAAGGATCCAGGTACGCACTTGGGGACCTCCCGGAACCCACCAGGTGTGATGTGAGCTTGTGGGTAATCCAGGGCTGCTGAAGTTGGCCTGGACTGGGGCATCGCAATCCTGTTGGAGACGTTGTCTCTCTCACTCAGGAAAGAAATACATAAACTTAAACAAACAAACAAACAAACAAACAAGCAAAACCAAGCTACTGTCTGCACGGCTCACATTTATTTACATTAATACAAATGACTGAATAAAAGCCATAGTGTAGAAATGCATGTTAGAAAACAACGCTTTGCCTGGATGGAGAATGAACAAGTCTGGTACTCGCTGCTTTC